CGCCCCCCCCCCGTATCTCCCTTTCTATCTGCAGGTCTGTCAGTGCTCCAGCAAGAGCCAACGCAGAGCGGAGCTTCACCAGGAAGAGGAAAATGGGAAAACAAAGGCTTTGTTTAGGACAGAGCCCATCAGGAGCCAGACCCAGGCTCGCGCCTGCAGGGGGGCAGATTCCAGCGGGAGGTGTGCGGCACCACTGCTCTGCACAAGCACTGTAACCCAGAGCTAGAAAGGCAGCGGAGTGACTTTGAAAACACCCTGCATCCACGTAAAGAACTTGGGCCGAGGAGAAGGGGTAGCCAAATCAGAGGTACCCAGTACGTATTTCAGGTCAGGGACTTCTTGGACGAGCAGCTCCCCCAGGAACATCACAGGCTCCGCAGCACCAACCTGTTACAGAAAAACTAGAGGAAGCGGCTCTGCGGGATGTCCAGCACTCACGGCTTTCTCTAGGGTGGACAGCAACCAGCAATACAGGGGCTATATACAGCCCACAAAATTTAAAACGCACCCCCTCTCCCCACGGCTAGGCCTGGTAGGCTTTACTGGGAAAAGATACCTCTCTCACCCCTGCCATGGGCCAGTTTGGGAGCAGTGATCTGGGTTAGCACCTGCTAAACATCCAGGATCAGCAAGCACAGAAACAAGTAATTCTTCTTGGGAATCTCGGATCTGAACAGGCCCTTAAAAGTAGCCAGTAGATGCAAAGGACAAAGCACAAACACCAGCCTCCCCAGCCCACCTCCTCAGCTCGCCTAAAAAAAAGACAAAAGAAATTCTGGTTTCTTCCTCTCATCTACCTGAAACCTGAAGGTCAAGCATTTATCTCTTTACCATTCCCCCAGCCCCACCATTTGTCATCTTCATTGGTTTATCAAAGTGCTCAGGTCTGCAGTTTTCCACGATGCCGCAGCACATTCAGCACAAGGCAGCCAGTCCCGGGGTTGGGGGGGGAGCACAGGGCTGCCGACACAGACCGAAGCGCTGCACCCAAAAATGAAATCCCTGATGCAGTGCCGTGGCTGGGAGTGCTGCTCTAGGGAAGGTGGCAGCACCAACCTCCATCCACGCACCAAGGACAGCCTGAGGAAAGGGAAGGACACCGGGCTAAGGAAGCTCCGAGAACAGACGTATCCCGGCCCCAAAAATAAGAAGCCAGACCAGCAGCAAGAGAAGTTTGCTCCAAAACTCAATTAAGAAAAAAGTATCCACTGTACAGGCAGCCTCCCATCTCCTCCAGCTGCAAGAGCTTCCTGTAATTTCTGTAAGGACAAGGTGATGAAAATCCTTCCTCGTCACGCAATGGTCAGGGACAGGGGAACTGGCTTTAGACGGGCTAGAATTAATGCCGGGGCACCTTTCCATCAGAGGGGCTCAAGACCAGAAGGGCTGCCAGGTTCCACTAGCAGAGGTGGAAGACGACAACAGCGGCATCCCTGGGGCGAGGGCAAAAAGGAGAAAAAGATGAGCTTTGCTCTGAAAGGTTGCAAACCACTGTTTCCTCCAGCAGGTTGGCTGGGAAGACTCTGAACCCATTATTTGCAGGCATATTTAATGACAAGGCTCTATAGGCAGCTGTTATTAAAGCTTGCCCACTGGTTACAGCCCCCCCCCCCCCGCCCCGTGCATTGAGCCTCTCGGGCATTTTACTCGGCCCGAGGACAGCTGCCTGTACAAGGGTTCAATATAGAAAACCACACGTGAAGATGAGCAGACAAAGCGTGTGGGCGAGGTGAGAAGCAGCCCACGCCGGAGAGGGAGCACAGCAGGAAGAAAGGGCGCAAACAGCGTGCCGGGAGTTCTTGGAATAAACCCCCCCCCCACCGTGGAGCTAAAGCCTCAGCCTGGGACCGACTGCTGCTGGTACCACTGCCGAGCATCCCTCGGGCAGGCGGAGAACAAAGCAAGGCGATGAGCCACGACCTCAAGAGATCACTTCTCATTTCACAGGGGAACAAGCTTCATTTTGGGAAGCACCGAGAGCTACGAATGGTGACTCTTGCTGTAGATCACATCTCGGCGACACGGGATCCCAAAGACCTTGCCATCATCATTTTTGAGTCCAGTTTCCCAAAGCAAGGCCTGAGGACAGGCACAGGGAACTCTTGTATTCCCCAGTTTTTCAGAGTTATAAGGAGAGTCGCTGCTTGAGGCACAAGCAGCAAAGTCAAATGCAGCTTCTAAGGCCTCTTGCAGAACCTCAACCCAAGGGCGAGGACACATGCCTGCCGCTCCCCCTCTTCTGCCAGCTCTGTGCCCAGAGCACTGTTTTGGGACCTTGCGATCAGCCTGGTCCCCAGCCACAGGCCTCCGCTGCCAGCAGCACCCCCAGAACCGCCTCTGGCTCTTACCTCTGTAGTGCTCCATCCTGGTGTGATGGGTGATGCCCTGCGACCGAAAGCTGAGGCTCAGGATGTAACGGGGGTCGGAACTGTCTCGGACCAGAAAGGACCCATCCGGCTTCCCCTTCAGCTTCATCTCTGCATCCTCCCAGTTCATTGGTCCCCAGTACCACCCGCACTAGGAAAAGAGACAGCCAGAACGTCAGCAGGTACCCACCAGAGAGATTCTATCAGCAACCAAACAATACGATTTGCTCTTGTTGTTAATTCCCTTTAAATGCCAAAATGGAAGCGTCTGGTTGTATCCACCCAGGAGTATGGATGGTTGGGACTCATCGCTCCTGGATGAGCGCGCACCATCACATCCCTTACCACCCAGAAGTGTCGAAAGAACAGATGAGACGACACCCCTTCCACGCACAACAAACAAAAGGCTTTTCTAGACTCAAAGACCTCACTGGGAGAAAGGCAGGTGGTGGGTTTTTTTCCAGTCCTACCCTAATCTTATGCTCCCAAGCCTGTAAAAGGGACGGTCAGTCCCCAAAACCGGAGCCTAGAACCACAGCCTCTTCCTTCTGGCTGCCACCACCACCACCACCACCGCCCTCCACGTTACCGTTACCTTCTCCAGCTCTCGCAAACTGGCTGCGAAGCTGCTGGAGTCCGGGCGGTAGAGCGGACACTGCAGGTGCGGGGCAGGCTGGCCGGGCATCGCCTCCATCGGCCTCAGCGGGACAATCCGTGGGAAAGCATCTGCAGAGGGAGAGACAGCCCGGGGTCACGGTCACCCGCGGGGAGCTCACCCCAAGGACGAGTCGCCCCGTCCCCCCCGCACAGCTCTAGAGGTCAGGGCAGGAGGGGCAGAGCTGCAGCGTGGAGGAGGAAGCTGGGCTGACCGATGGAAGGACAACGTCCTTGTGAAGGACACAGTGGGAGTCACTACCCGGCTCTTCCAAGGTGACTAACGCAGTGCCTTCACCTGCTATTTCCTTATGCTAGCTCGGAGGGGAGGCAAGGGAAGTGCCAGGCGGCACAGACTGGAAGGAATGAACACACGTCCTGAAAAAGGGGCAGTTAAAGCCCTCTGGGTCCTGAAGAAAACCGAAAGCACAAGGGTAAATGCACAGGAAACATCCTCGAGTGCTGTTCGCTTGGACTGCACACCAGGCTGGCGGTCAAAGCTGGGGCTCCTGCACCGAACCCTGCTCCCACGGCTCTTTTCCGACATTGCTGACACTCATTAACACGTTATCTGACACAGCGCAAATCG